ACAATCAGTAATCTCCAAATATCATAATATTTGCCAATCAGCATCTTCTCTCTCTCATACTCATACTCCATATTTCTTCATCTGACAAACACTTATCAACTTTATTAAGTTCTATGAAATCCAACTTACTTTTCACAAAGTTACTGCACACCAAGATGACCCATTCAACAACCTTGCTAATCAACTTGCTTGTAACTACCAAATATTACCCTACCTAACATTCTTAACTAACAACCCTTACAACCTTAACTATACACCTTTTATCGATGAATTCCCTATTGAAATTCCTATCCGATGCTCAATTCAAACCATATGCCAAGCTCATATTATATCACTCTGAACATCTCAACACCGCTTTCAACAATGGTCTACTATTGCATCTGACATTAACTGGGAAGCTACATGGCTTTATATCAACAACAATCAAAAAATTTTCAAATTTGCTCACAGCTTTCAATCATCTACTTTGAAAACTTTTTGAGTTAAAATTCTTACAGATGAACTTCCTGTTCCTCATACTCTTCATAAACGCAACTCTTCATTTTCTTCCTTCTGTCACCAATGCAACCAAACCAGCTTCTCACTCCATTGGGCTATTTGCTCATCAACTCAAACAATCTATCACCTAATCTCTAACTCTCTTCAGAGCATCTTAAATACAACTAACCTGGACATGCCTGCCAATTTGGTTTCTGATTTACATACTGAAATTCTCACACTTAACAGTTTCAAATTGCATAACTCTTCACACATATCTTCACTTATTTCTACTCTATCTGGTCTAGTTCCTACTGACCTTATCTATACTATCCACAATTCTTCTATTTCCTATCGTACTGCTACTACTCTTTCCATCAAACTTCTTCTCTATTTAAACCAACAAATTTATAAACAAATATGGATTCCATACTGTATTTCACATTCTGCACAGTCTCAAACCACACTTTCTACTAACTCAACTCATAGTCACTCTTCTAGCCCACCTTTACCTTCTATTTCAATACTACAAATTATTACTAAAATTGATTTTTGGACTATCCAATAGATTAAATACTATACCCCTTTTTCTTATATTATTACTCAAACCCAAATCTAGGTGGCCTTGACCACTCTTGTAGGTTTAGGTCACAGATTATATGTCTGAGTCTTTATTCTTCATATGTATTAAAAGCAAGCTTTTCTTTGTAAAAACTTTAATTGAATTTCAATAAAGTTAAAGGCATAGTCTTATTGTTAATATTTTTTTTAAAAAAAAAGCAAAGTTTTAGGCAATCTGAAGGCCTTGGTTGAACTATATTTATAGATAAAGGAAGGTTCACTTTTTCTCTTATTGCTTCTATAATTATAGACCACCAAGGAGCAGAAACCCAAATCAGAACAATAATTACTATGATGGCCTGGCACTCCTTGGCATGCATTATGACTTTGTGAATTATTGCAAAAGAAGGACACAAATAGTTTATTATCCCTTTTCAATTTTGAGAAAAACAGTTTACTGTTTTTGAACCTAAGCAGAAATACAGGCTGTTAAACTGTTTTAACCTGGTATTTAAATGGCTTGCAAATCTGTTGATATTGAACTTTTCTCAAAGATTCTTTAACTTTACTACTTCTATTTTAGCATCCAATCTTCTGGATCTAATATCCTTGTAAAATTGTTGGCTAAGTTGCTTTTGCTTAGGATCCAATAAACTTGAAAAATGTCTATATCCTTTACCAAACACATATTCTAGATTTTTCGACAATGTCTTTTTGCTATTTTCTTGGTCTCTTATGCTGTACTGTCTGTAATGCTACTTTGTTTTCTATTATTAGTGTTATTACTGAACTTCTTAATTGCTCTTCTAAAGATTGTAATACTTAAGAACTGCTATCACTTTAAGTTGTGCAATTACATTTGCTAATAGCATTTCTATCCAATTTTCACTTGCAACCAAATTTTAATATACTCTGCATTAACCAATTACTAAAGCATCTACAAATACTAATTTTATTTTGGATGGCTTTTATGCTGGATGTCTATTCCAGATTGCTAAGTTCTCTATTAACCAGTATATATCTTCTATCACTTAACTTGATAATGTTATCTTCTTGTCCTACTCATTTGCTTAACAGTTCTTGGCATCTATTAATTAATAAAACTTAAGCTCTTTACTTAAGCAGAAGCAAACACTCTTGCCAAACTTTAAATTTTGCCTGCAACTAAAGCAAGCTTTCATACTGAAACTACTGAAGTTTCCAACAATGTTCTTAATAGTAATACCATTGTTCTGATCTTTTCTTCAGGTGCAATAACTAATTCTCTTAATATATCTATCACTAGACCACAAAATTTGGGATTTTGGATGGAGTCACAACTGCTTTTTTCTATTGCATTAACCTAGCCACAGCCTTTTAATTCTACTCTATTATCTCTTCTCTCTGTTTCAACAATATGTCTTTTAAAGAATGAGCAATTCAGACATCATCAAAATAATTTCTACAAAAAATACTATGTGCTCTCCAACTTCCAATCATTGCTCTCATTACCTTCACAAATATCCAGGAGAACTGACTTAGTCCAAATGAAGTACCTTGTAGTAGTACCACTTTTCCTCAAATACAAATTCCAGAAAATGCAGTGCTAAATCATCCATTAGAAGGTAATGATATCCTTTCTTTAAGTCAAACATAAGTATCTACTAATTTTTCTCTATAGTTCATAGTAAGGTTCCCAAGCCCTCAAATTTGAAAGTCTTCCTTGGCAAGGTTTTGTTCAACCTTCAGATGTCGATAACCAATCTGAATTTCTTGGGATCCTGTTTGAAAATCACAAACACTAGGCTTACTTCTAATAAGACTTCTGGTCTTGACTTGCCTACTGATACTAATTTTACTGCTTCTGATGTTGTTAAATGGACCAACTTCTGTTCTATCTATACTTTCTTCTCTACTGTAAACTGCTATTGTTTGAAAACTGGTAAAGATGTTAGTCTTATCAAACTTCTTGGAAAAAGCAAGACTCTTTTCTTTAACTATTCTACTACTACAGATGCTGGCTTTATAATGTCTTTCTAATAACAGACTGCTGATTCTATATGTAGTCTTCTAGTAACCAACTGCAACTCATCCAACATGTTTACAACCTTTGATCCCAAAGGTACCTTCATTTGAGTATAGTTAGCTCCTTTTAGAACCAGTATTTTTGGCACAAAAGAGCAAACTCATATGTTTTCTTTATCCAAAAAAGGTAAATGCAGTGAAGATTGGTCATTATACCCTTTTGCTTCCTCATTCTTAGTTACTACTAGCCCATTATTAAAAACCTTTGCAAAAGCTTTATCTAACTCAAAATTTGACTTATTGCCCTTCCCATATACTTCCTTTATACTATTATCAATGTCTATCATTTTCTCTTTTCCAGGATTATTCAACCTGGCAAACCAAACCTCTTTTTGTTTTCATTAACTAAATGATCTACTAAATCCTACTTCAAGTCTGCCTCAGAAACACCTATTTCATGACATAAAAACTTTAATATTTTTACTAACATATAGCCAAAATTAGCTTTAAAATTAGTTTGTATAGCTCTCTGTGTCGTATCAACATCATTTTTCTAAGTTAAATCAATATCACTATTGGTAGAATAAGACTCATCTTTTATAGTAACTAAGTTCTTAGATGTACTCATCATAAGAAAGCAATATTGCTCGATGTAACCAGAACTAATATTGGGTTCGCAGAAGAAACAAGACTATTTTACCTACATACCTTATAGACTCTAATATATAGCCATAACAATTATACATCGATTATCTTATTCTTACTCAGGTTACTTAAACTATATTAACAATTACTAACTAATTACTTTATAGTTATACTAAATGATTACTAACTAATTACCTCATAGACATACCTACTAACTACCTCATATTTACTTTATCTTGTTCAAACATTAAATTGGTCAACTAATTGATCATTAGACTGATCAAATGATTAAACATATAACTGAACAGAGACATGTCATATGTTCAAATCTGAGTTAATTTGAGACAAACACTGTCTCGATACTTATATATTAAGCAGTTTTGTTTAACTTCAAAAATAACTGATTTATATAAACTAAATTGAATTTACTAAGGAATTTAGCTATGTTTTTAGTAAAATTATTCCTAGTAGATCTGCAATATTTGTGTTTTTTTCTTCTATATTAAGGTCTGAAGTTGCAAATCTTATTGTTACTTGTATCTCTTTGGCTTTAAGCATAATATAACATACTAGATTGTCTTTTTATAAACTTTTGCATGCCTTAGATAGATTATAGTACCAATTGGCTTTTGATACACCTATTAATAAGAGTCTGTAGTTAATCTATATTTTGTTAAGAGTTCTTTTGGATCAATAGTGTTAACTCATGCTTGTAAACTTGTAATTTGCTTTCTTAATAGTTGGTGTCAAAGAGAGTTGCAATTTTCAAAATTTCTATATAGCATAATACTATTGCTTACTGTAATTGCAATTTTGAGTTTATATTTTGCTATTCTTAAAATTAGCTTTTGTATTACTTCTATTACTATTTTAGATAGTTTCATTACCTGTAGCAAGTAGGTAAGCTTAGGCATTATACACATGTTATTAATATAGGCTACTTGTGCTATTGTTATTTTATTTGTTTTGAGACTTTTTATTACTATATATACAACTTATTGAGCTTTTGTTTTGACTAAAAACTCTTATTATATTATTATGCAATATATTACATTCTTTTTTTTTAAATATTAACAGTAAGGTCATGCCTTTAACTTTATTAAAATTCAATTGAAGTTTTTATAAAAAAAAGTTTGCTTTTAAATTACATATGAAGAATAA